TCGTTTTGTTGACTTTTTGCAAACACAGTGCTCCATTTAAGTTTGATTTGTCCACATAAAACATCCATTGAAGAACTAGATTTTACAGTCATTTCAGGCATCTCAGTCAGCGATTTGGAAATGGAAATAGATTTCAAGGAGTTGGATATCTGGGTGGAAAACTTAGTCACACTGAATTCTGATTTATAATGCCTTGCCCAACATGCAAAATTGGCAAAACAGCACAAATGGGCTGACATGAAGAAATTGGAGCAAGACGATAATCTGATTCTGCAAATTTGGAAAGACCTTTCCCTCTCATACACTACCATAAAGAATGTCAACTTGGACTTACTTTTCAATATTTGGCCCCACCAATAAGTGTGAGCAGGCTCTCTCTCATTTGAATCATACCAAAGGTAATTTGCGCTCAAGATTGACAGAAGACAGCCTGAATGCGTGCATGAAGCTGAATTTGACCAGTTATTATGTAAACTTCAAAGAAATGTGTGAAAAGATACAGTAGCAAGTCCCATCAAATAAAGTCCTCGAGTTCATTGTTTTATTTATGCTATTATTAATCGTGTCAATTATTAGTAATATTAAAATTGTATATTTCAGTCATGCAGATGGCATTCTTATATGGCTCTTTGTTGACCACTTGTTCTGAATTTTGATGTAGTTTAGCTCTTTGGTTTGAAGAAGTTGCCAACCCCTGCCCTATACAATTGGTCCAGTGTGAAAATGTTATTCTGGTTTCCAATTTAAAATGCCAACCTTATGTTTGGTGTCTGGAATATTCCACGGTCAGTTTTAAACCAGCAGTTCTGTATCATGTAGAAGGGTAGGACGATTTTTAATTTGTTCTGTATTTCTGTGAGAAAAGTTTATGCGGTTGCAATTAGCAGTATATGAGCTGAACTGAAAGTATACAGTTGACTGGCATCAGCATACAGCAGGTAAAAATCATAATGTAGCATAACCTCTAGGACACTTGTTCTTCCAACACTAGAAACAGAACTTTTTGCCAAGTGATTTATTCCTATAGAAAACCAGATGTATACACTAAGATTCAGGGATAAACCTTGTTGTAGAACAGTGGTCACCAACCAGTAGATCAGGAACTCCTGGTAGATCTTGGAGCTTCTGAAAGGTGATCCTGACTGGTTTGGCCAAGAGATGGTCAAGTGCTGGTACTTCAGCTGCCCTTCTCCCCACTGATGCACATCTCTTCCCCTTTGCCTTGGAGCTGCCTCCCCCACTCCCCAGAAGCCTCCTGCTTTCTGTGCAGAGCAAGGAAGGGAGAGAGAGGGGCGCTGATGTCAAGGTGCCCCTCTCCCACTCTGTATCCTATCTCCACAGAGTCGGGGGTTGGGAGGGGGGGGGAGTGTTGGCAGCACAACAGGACTTGGGATGGAGTTTGCTGGCTGGTGAAAAGGAGAGTGAATGGGGGAGAAAGAACGGAGTGAACAGAAGCAAGTTCTTAGAGAAGAGGCATGCAAGAAGTGGGGCAAGGGTATTTATTTGGGTCTATGATAGATCCAAGATTGCATTTAAATTAAAAAAGTGATCTTGTGCTTAAGAAGGTTGGAGACCACTGTTGTAGAATGTTACAAAAGAGCATTTCAGGGTAGATAATGTCAGTTAAATCAACTCAAGCTTCAGATGTATCAAATATCTTGATTTTATTTCAAAGGCACATGGGGAATACGTTATGTGCAGAGTTAAGTTTACTCAGTGAAAAGTAGTATAGATCCAGAGGCTCTTGCAAAAAAACAAGTTCTCAGTTTCCTGGAATGAAAGAGTTACATTCCATGAGCTGTGAATGATATCATGGCCTTAGGAGTCTAAAAAGCCAGGAATCCTGAAATTTTGCAATAAGCACTGAATGTTATTTTTACTGCCTTAGGAATTGCGAAATTTTCCAAGCTCTTCAAATGCTTTAAAATTCTAAGCTCCTCCCTGAGATACCATCCTAAACCTTTTATTAGATCTACCAACCCCCAAAACAGAAAATCCCTTTGGAAATAACAAGACCTGAGACAACATATAGCCAACATTCTTTGATTTTGACACATTTCACAAAGCTTCCTATAAGCAAAGTTGATAACTTCCTGTAGTTTTACAGCAATACAGACTATGCTAAAAGTTAATGAAGAATTGCAACTTGCAATACTTTGCTTTTGGAAACACATGTTGTGGCCTTTCTGCTCCAAAACAGACCTAATAGATGGTGAATGTGAAGTCAATTCTACAGCAGAAAAATAAAAGTATTATTTCGTTTAAACAATGAGGTTGCTTCTGCCATGAGCTCTTTAAAATTAAGATGTGTTTCTCACAGAAACACAAATTATCATACTAGAGGTCCATCTGGTCTAACAACAGAGGGCAATGCAAAAACTACAGTATACAATTACAGAATAATCTGCAAAAGCAAAGTTTCTTTCTAGCTTCCTCAAATAAGCTAATGAACAATTTATGACCCAATGCATAAAGATTTATATCCCTTTTTAAACATTTTAACTCAAGTGTGTCTATATTCATATAAATGGATAATTTTTGTACCCTGCTAAGCTTTTGACTTCAGTCTTGTAGCAGCAAGTTCCAAAAGTTAATGATGCATTGTGTAAAAGTATTTTCTTTGCTCATTTTCAAATTTGTTGCCTTTCAATCTAATAAACTGTATTTTTCTTCATGTACTATGAGAAAAGGAAATCTAGATGCCATTATGTACCCTATGCTATTTGATTTTCTGACTACTTCTATCATGTCCTCTTATATAACATTTCTCTAAACTAAAAGCTCCAAGTCTTTTCACTCTCTTTCCATAAGTCCTTCCCTGATAATTATGGTATGTTTACGGTGATTCCAAACTGAGTCTTTTCTTCCACTGTATGTCACAATTACACAGTGAGTTAACATAATAAGATCCAAGATGATGATATTAAATGCATTAGGGAAGCAAGATGGAAAGGTGGGGTATTTAAAAACAGAGAGGCTGACTCCGCTTTCCCCATCATTTTAGCACTTTCCCAGTGAAGGGGGGGGAAATGTATTCACTACTAAACAAGAGAAGTCTCAGCACTATTTTTTTTCATGATTTTCATTTGCAATTAAGCTTTTCGAGTTAGTCTGTAACAGGAAAAATTTACAAGACTAACAAAACATATAGATAGTATCGTGAGCTTCATGGGCACAGCCCACTTCTTCAGATGACAAGTGTGTTGAAAGTCCAGATCCAAGACTAACTTGGCTGCCCCTCTGAAGCTTTCTTATAAAGTCTATCCTCTCCTTCCTTTTGCCTTCTCTCTTTCCCATTGAGACAACTTTCACAGCAATAAAAAGTCAAATTCTGCTCACCTAAATAACAGATTTTTTCCCTTCAAAAGAATATTAAACACAATTTCTTCTACTACAGAGCATGGAAAATTCCCCATAACACAACACCCAAATATTTGGCTCTGATAATTTCCACCTCCATTCCAAATAATCAATTTGTCTCTGAGATGAGCCAGAGGTGTAGACTCTTTTACTTGAAAAAAGAAATTTTCAGATGAGCATGAATATTTTTCCTATTTTTCCACTGTTCTACTATCCACATATCTGTTACAGGGAGATTTTCATAGCAGTTTACCACCAGGACGGTAAGCAGCAGTGTTCCCTGTAGAGATGTAAAAGCCAATTTAAAGTGTTAACCCATTAAAATGGGCTTAAACTGCAACAAGGGAGGTTTAGGTTGGACATTAGGAAAAAGTTTCTAAACTGTCAGGGTGGTTAAACACTGGAATAAATTGTCTAGGGTGGTTGTGGAATCTCCATCTCTGGAGATATTTAAGAGTAGGTTAAATAAATGTCTATCAGGGATGGTCTAGACAGTACTGGGTCCTGCTGTGAGGGCCGAGGACTGGAGTCAATGGCCTCTCGAGGTCCCTTCCAGTCCTAGTATTCTAAGCTATATGGTTAAATGGTTAACTGGCCCGCTGTGCCATGAGCAGGCCCAGACAGGATGAAGCATGCCCCGCCTGCAGCATGGTGGTCCCGGCAGGGCCTACTGCGTTGAACCACAGGCAGAGGGCTGCTCAAGTCTGGCCAGGATGGAGTGTCCCTCACCTGTGGCACGGTGGGCCCAGCTGGGCTGGAGCAACTCCCTGCCCATAGTGCACTGCAGGTGGGGGTTGTTCCAGACAGGCCAAGCACTAGTTAACTGGTTACCTCTTTTTACATCCCTAGTTTCCCATAAACTGTGCGCTTGTGCACCTGCTTAGGAGAAATTCAAATGCTGCCCAGTTGATTAGCAGAACACCCACCGATAGGTTTTGTTTCTACTGGAGGTACACAGTCACACATGCTCTGGTGTACATAAGAATATTTTGCACAAAGATGGAAGAAATCTGCACATGGATGAAAAAGATTAGAGGGAACACTAGTAATCAGGATCATATTTTAATATGGAAAACCAAAACAAGACATCATACATCCTTGATCTTTCCCTGTGCACTAAAGGCATGCAGAAGATTCTGCCAAATAATGAATGGCTTTGGCTAAAGACTGGATTCACCACCATGTAGAATACTGGTGAATTTATCTTTTGATGGCCATGCTACTGCCTACTAGATCTGAACATGCAAGATTTGAGTTCTCTGCCCTATTTTAAGATAAAGAGTTCCTCGTACATTCAAAAGTTTGTCTCTTTCACCAACAGAAGTTGGTCCAATAAGAGATATAACCTTTCACACCTTGTTTTTCTAAATGATCCTAAGGACTGCGCTTTGACACTTCACAGTAGGAAGACTGTTTCTTGAATTTACTTTGGGAATGTATATTATGATAGTTGTGAGAACTACTTATTTGAGTTAGAAATAGAAAATTGGATCTTCTCTGAGACAGCTCAACTTCAGATTTTATCTGATTGAAGACAGTAGCTGCTATGAGGTCTATTTTAACGGATAGAATACAATGTTATCTGCATGTGTTCAACCTGGATAGTGCTGAAACAAAAGTAGGTGCCAAAGTCTCATTACCTGTCTGTTCTTCCACATCTGTTCCATTGTCCCTCTCATCACTGTAAGGCCAACTGCTGAGGGGGATGGAGGGAAGAGGAGATGCTAGTGAGACACGGCAGCCTGTAACAGAAGCAGGCAAAACCAACTGGGCATTAAGACATGGTGCCCTTCAGCAGCAGCTAGGAATGACAGCCCAATCAAATACGATAACCCAAAGAGGCATCCAACAAAAACAATCTGATATTTTCCTAGTTTTTTCAACAAGGACTAGAGATCCCCAGTCCTCTATTACCTGCAATTCACAGGGAGAATGAGGGATTTCCAGATATACTTTGTGTAGAGCAGTTGCAGACTTTCTAATCATAGTTCCACAGTACTCAGTTTTCTGCCTGGAAATACTAGCCTCCAGATTTTTAGCGGGGTTTTGGTTATTTTATTGTTTCTTCTCCTTTTCCTTTATGCTTTTCCTGGTGAAAAAATGGCAGCAACAAGTTCAAGCTTCTCATGGAAGATTCCCAAGCATATTTTGAGTCAATACTGCCCTGTCACTAAAAGTCAGGATATGTAAAAGCTGTTTGTTTGGCAATTTTGCTAACTAAATACTTTACTTCCAATAAGCAGGTTTTGCTTTGATGGCAGGAGAGTGTTCCCATGTGTACTTGCTGCAGCAAACCTCTGTCATTCACAGTGGGTCCTCAAATCAAAATTTCATTATTTTTAAGACACATGCATTCTGGGAATTTTTGTACTTCAGCTTTTATATTCACATTTTCCATGTTTTTCTTCACCCTCACAAGGGCTGGAAACTTGTTCCCTCCTCTCTCCTCCTCCTCCTCGCCAAAAAAGGGCAGGGGGGGAGGGGGAGAAGAAACCAGATTCTCATAAAGTCACAGACTCCAAACGCTGGGTCATTCAGAAAAGTAACAGGACCCTTAAAACAAAATTGCAAGATTTAACAGCTTTTTAGAAGTCTGTATAAGGGAAAAAGAAGTTTAACAATACTACATAGTCTCCTAACTTACTGCTGGCACACACTGCAATATTTCTGAAGATTATCTCTTTCTGAAATTCACAACTATTTTATATACATTTTCTGAAGACCTAGAGCACAAAATATTAAACTAATGCCAAAAACAAAAGTTTATAGTTTCTTTGAAAAGAAATATCCCAGATGAAATCCCCTAAGAATTAAAGTTATCCATGTGAAGAATAAATATAAATATTGTTTGCAGTATTGTCTCCATATTGGTTGCAGGATATTAGACAGACCAAGTGGGTAAAACAGTATCTTGTATCCTACCAATTTCGGTTGGCAAGAGACACGCTTTTAAGATTAATCAGATCCTTTTTAGGTGTGGAAAAGGTACTCTCAGTGTCAGGGCTAATTACAGCAAGATGGAACAGACTGTAAGAAACCATAACTATGTATGTTAAAACCGTGTGTTTCCCCCTTTTATTTAGCTGTGACATATTGAGTACCTTCTCCAGACCTAAAGAGCTTAGTATAAAATCAAAAGCTTATCTTTTGCCAACAGAATTTAGCCCAATAAAATATATTACCTTCCCCACCTTGACTCTCTAAACTTACATGTGTATTATATGAGCAGGGGTGTGTACACAGGACATAAGGAAAGCACTTTACAAATACAGGCAGTCCCCGGGTTACGTACAAGATAGGGACTGTAGGTTTGTTCTTAAGTTGAATCTGTATGTAAGTCAGAACTGGCGTCAAGATTCACCCACTGTTGAAACTGATCAGCTTCAGCAGCGGCCGATCTCTAAACTTACATGTGTATTATATGAGCAGGGGTGTGTACACAGGACATAAGGAAAGCACTTTACAAATACAGGCAGTCCCCGGGTTACGTACAAGATAGGGACTGTAGGTTTGTTCTTAAGTTGAATCTGTATGTAAGTCAGAACTGGCGTCAAGATTCACCCACTGTTGAAACTGATCAGCTTCAGCAGCGGCCGAATCTGGACGCCAGTTCCGACTTACATACAGATTCAACTTAAGAACAAACCTACAGTCCCTATCTTGTACGTAACCCGGGGACTGCCTGTAGCTTATTTCAAAAATTGGCACTGTCTACACAGCACTTATTTCAAGATAAATTGCTATTCCAAAACATCCCTTATTCATCATGGAATGAGGTTCATGGGGATGTCGGAATAGCGAGCCCATTATATTTCAGAATAATGGGCACATTCAAAAGCCATGGAATAGCTATTTCGGGATACCTCCAGTATCTAAAAATAGTGCTGCAGTATAGACATACACTTGGCCTAACCCAGTATGATGGTTCTTATGTTTACTGGTAAAATCCATAATGTGGACACAATTATACTGATGTCCCAAGTAACAAGGTTTTAGAATTTTTTGATAAGGGCCAGATTCTTATCTGATATAATTCCAGCACAACAGCTTTGATTTTGGTTGAGCTAAACATGAGCTGAAGATCTGACTCTGCATTAGAAACCAGTTTTGCAATCATTGTCCATGTAACTACATCTAATGTAGCATACTAAGTTTGAGTAAGAAAATTGCTTTCAGCTGACAGCCCAGACGCTCTGCTGCTGCAGACCAGGTGGAGATGGGGGGGCAAAGCAGAGCCAAGCCTCGGAGCGCGTGGGCAGCGGACAGCCCTATCCGCTGCCCACGTGTTCCGCCGCTTTGCTTCCTCTCCCTGGTCTGCTGGAGACCAGGGAGAGGAACCCCGTTCGTAACTGCGGATCCGACATAAGTCGGATCCGCGTAACTCGGGGACTGCCTGTATCTGAAATTAGACTCTATTAAATGAGAAAAAGCTTTCATTAATCCTTGTCATAATCTTAAGCACTATATGTCCTTTTAATAAAAGAAAGGTATTCACCCTATTTATTCACCTTGAAATTTTTAATAGTCTCTAGTAGTGACAAAAAGCATTGTGGCATTCATTGATTTCTGAAGAGATTGGGGGCAGGGTTAGTAGCTGGCTTGTATCTAGAATTGTATACAATTTCAATCTGTTTCTTGTATTAAATACTTGCAAGGAATTATAAGCCACCCACAGCCTCTTGAACAAGGCCCTGATGTATGATATGATTGGTGTCCAAACCAGAGAAAATCTCATGAACAATTATAACAGAGAGAGAGAGAGAGAGAGAGAGAGAGAGAGCGAACAAAGAATCAAGTGAAAAATATATCTAACTATATATTAGTTCCTCTGCTTGGGAACAGTGACTGGAACAGAGGCCACTGAATATCATTATGAATGTGTTTTTCTATTGCTACTGCAAGGGGAATTGCACACAAGAGGGGGCAGGGAATCTGCTATTAATCATATTATATTCATTGTTCCTTCAATGCTGCTGGCAATGCTTCAGGGGACTCTCTCCTCAATTCCCAGATAAAATTGTAGAGAGGAAATAACTGTTTGAAACAAAGATCTGTACCCATAAACCTTCATACTCCACGTTAGCCCTGGAGAACTACTGAATGTTGAACACATTTAGAGATGCTTTCACGCCCATGTTAAAAATCCTCTTTATACTAATATTCTGCTGAGGTTTTATTAAATAAAAGTCCTTTTATTACATAATATAGTCTATTTTAAATCTCAGACAGAAGAAAAGTATTCTCAACAGCAGGATAATAAGATAATCAAAACATGATCATCCAGTAGTTACGTTTCAAAATTTTATTGTGTGTGTTCTTTGGGCATCTCTAAGTCTTTGATTTTCAACTGACACTTAAGAATAGTCAATAAACCACACCTCGCAATTAGAATATTGAGCCAAACACCCCTAAGGGTGGGGATGGTGGAGTGACACACAGTGATACCCTGTGAGGCTTAGCAAGAATTGTTTAAAAGGAGAAAAACTGCACTAAGATGTCCAATCCTTATTTTGCATAAAAAAGTAATGTTCTTTCTATTTTACCTCATGGCATTACCTCAATTCCCAATATGAGAGCATGTCATCAAATGCAGTTAACCTGTAAGACCATGAAGAATAGATGAATTTTTAAGAAACTTCAAAGTTAAAGGCCTGATTTTCGTCTCACTTAACACCAATGTAAATCCCTAAAGGGCAGTTATTCCAGCATCAGTTGGGTGAGAGATTCAAATCATACCTTAAATTCACTTCATTCATGTAACCAGAAGCCAGTTCACAAGCAGAAATGTGACTGTCATAGTGCACTACCTTCAAATTGCAAAAGATTGAGCTGGATCATTTTATTTCCAGACTAACACACAAAGGTGGGTTCAAAATTTATATTCCTCCTCCTCAGAAAAAACAGAGACAAAAATAAGATAATTACAGCTGTGTGTGTCAGCCAAATGGAATGCAGTTAGAAACACAAGAACTTTGTAAAAGGAGAAAATAAATTCTTATTTATTAAGTGTATCTTTCGAAGGCTTTTCATATAGTCAACAGAAGCCACTTCAATCTTTGTTATTAGTTTAGTTGCTAAAACAAAGAAATAAAACATTTTAGCATGTCAGAGTCCAACTGATGACTCATTCTTCTGTCCCTGGTTTCTAATTAATAGCTGCAGGCAGCCTCTATTTGGACATTTTGCATATTCGGGGAGGGGGAGGGAATATTCCTACTTGTTAAAAATAAAAAAAACAGAGTTTGTGTTGCTAAGATTAAAATTCAACGTTGCCATTACTGGAATGTTCAAACTACTTGCTTGTGCTTGCTCTCTGTCATCTCCTCCCCCCCCCCCC